CATCTTTGTAATATCTCATACTTAAGTTAATTATAAATAGAATGAGGGGCTGGCGGCTAGGGTTAAGTAAATCTATCCTAGTCGACCTTCTTCTCTTTTCTCCCCTTTCCTTTGTCTCTTGCTGAAATCCCCAACTTTCTACTCTTCCTTTCACAAGAAGCTTGGCCAAAATCAGCACATAAGGTTTTCTACTCTATCAAAACGCAAAGATAATAATGATTAGTACTATACAGAATCTTTTATCAATCTCCTTTTGTAGGATTGGGTTTGAAGAGCCATGAGAAAGGAACCAAATATTTTGACATGTTTGGATTCTGATATGTGTTTTATGATACACAACTGTTCTTCCTCAATTCACAACGGGAATGCAGAACAACAATGCTTTCCTTGATTCACTTTTGAGGCTTTGACTTCATTTAGTCTTCTTTCCATTGACAAGCTGAGGTGATTGTCATTTTAAAGATATAGTAATAACATTTCAAAGTTACAAAACTCGTTACAATAAGGTTTGCGTTTCATAGAACTCAAAACTCCCACTTTACTCTTTTCTCTTGCCAAAAAGAAAACTCCCCCTTTTCCATAACCATGAGATGTCAAGATTGTGTGCATGTTGGTGAAAGAATCAAATGGAAAATCTAGATTAACTGCACCAAATAGCTCATACCTTGAAACAATGCCTTTTGTTTCAAGAGAGTCTACAATAATTCCTTCAAAACTGCAATAACAAAAATATCATAAGCGATTTGCACTTTGCAACCACTAGCAAAAGCAGTTAACAGTAAAGATGTATGCAAAAAGCAATAGGTTTGAGAGTGCATAAAAATAATACATGATATAATAACTTTAGAAATTTTCATACAGTTAAACAGTTAAGTCTCCTTTAAAGAAATGAGTTACAAAAGAAAAGGAAAAAGTTGGCAGCTGAAAAAAAAAATCTTGTTTTGGAACACCACAGCCACATGCAGAAGAAAACTAGACAAAACAGTAATAACTTGTTAAACCTACATTGACCAATCAACATTGACAGTTCTCTCCGGACTTAAAATGGAAGCCCGGCCTCCTATTTGCTCCCACAGTGAACGTGCTTGACCATCCTGTACTGCATATATCTGTAGAATATCACAATAAAAGAAAATAAGCTTGGAAGAGCCAATGGTAAAAATAAGTACAATAGGAGGAATCAACTTGGTGCCATAGTTTATGACTAATATTCTCTGGTATGTATTAACTAAAAGTTTTTTAAGAAATTTTCTGTGCATTATTAGATATTATAATGTATTTTCTGCCTATACATGTATAGTGTGGATAAATAGATGAATATCTAATATGACATTATTAACAAAGGATATGACACTGAACAGAATGGAATGGAAAAACAGGATTCATGTAGTGAACCTCATATAGTTAGGACAAGTCTGAGATGATGATGATCTAATATGACATTATTAGATAGCATAGACCAAGCCAATTATAACATCAAAGTGAATATAAGGAAATTCCTTAAGAATGACTCTTCCAGTTTGTTCTTTATATAAAAGACCAACTATTTTGTTTCCTTAAAAATAGAAATTACAAAAGATGAAAAGAATAAGAAGAAAGTTGAAAAGACAAACCCATCACTCATATACACTTAGTCTCTCTATAGCGAAAAAAATCAAGAAAGAAAAAAAAAGGTTTTCTTCCTACTTGACACTACCTAACCCACCCCTATCCCATACTCTCATCTTTTTCCACCCTAAACCCCTTACAAAATTTTTTTGAGGCTTTGAGATACAATTGACATGGATTATTCTTGTTTTATGTTAATCTGTCATTTTGTTGATTTTATTGTCTCTGTCTAATCCAATGCTCAAGCTTTTTTTTCCTTTTTTGTTTCATTTCCCATTTTGAACTTGACGATAATGTTTTGGAGGTTGGAAGGAAATTATTTTATTTTAGTAGTAGGTATAAATTAATTATAGGAAGCAAACACAAATTTTTAACTTTTATCCTTATATATACATACCTAAAACAAAAGTTGGAAGTAAAGTGTTATGTTTTGCAAAGGAAAATAATTATAAAACAAAATATATAAAAGCTGCCTATAACCAATATGCTAATAATAACTAATAAAATATCTTTCATTTCAGGGCCTACTGTACACAAAGTGGCCTTCAATAAAAATACCTTCATAGTTTATTAATTAAGTGCATTGAAGTAACAACACATAAATTGAGGTAAAAGTTCCATTGTTAGTTTATTAATTAATAGTAAGAAACTCTTATGCATGGCCTACTATGAAAATGAGCCCTGCAAGTTATGAGAAAGAAAACATAATGAAGAAGCAACGCCACCTTGAGCACATATCCTATCCCCTGGAGATTCTTCATCACAGTGAACAGCAGCAAGGAAGATGGGTTATTTTCCATATTTCCTAAGATCTGAGATTCAAAAAAAGAATTCAGTTAATTCAATGGCAGATTGTAAATGTAAAGATCTTCTCCTTTGCAAAATATTGTCGTTCAGTCAACATTAGACTGATTTTTTAATCAGCTCAATATTAGACTGATTTGTTGGCACAGACATCGGTAATGCCTACATTGGAATTACCAATGTAATCTGAAAATAAGTTAGTAATTTTTCAATTTATATCACAGAAGGCTTTCTTAGTATAGAAGCTTTCGGTATATGGAAGTCGAGTGCAATGTAAACAATTTTAGACTGCGAATCATGCACATACAAAAACAACCTCAAATGTAATGCACAAGTATCTATGAAGTGTCAGAAACTGAAACTAACAAATAGCCCATGCAATTCAAAGAGATAGAGAGGTAGAGAATGGCATCTAGCCATACGATACTTTGCATATATAAAAGTGCAGTCTTAGGATCTTAAACACCAGTGCACATAACTGTGTAACACCATGCTGCGCTCAATTATGTGAAACTAAGCACGTTCTTGATATAACGATCCACTAAATCAGCTGAGAAAAACAATTGTTAAATGTAACCAAGAAAAAAAAAAGCACGCGAAGCGAAGAAGAATAAGAACTATAAGAAATACTCACAATCGCCAATCTAGGTGGACGAATGGCAAGTCTTGCCTCCAGTCGCATCCGATCAAGACCGCCCTGTTTCTCAAATCTATCCAACAACTTCGTTGGAATGAATTGAAGAGAAGTTCCAAACCTCAGCACCTTCCGAAATGGCATCCTTCTATCTCCGCTCTGGCTAAAAACTGAAGCCATCGAATTCTGTAACACTACAGATGCCACAACAAATACAACAACAGCGAAAATGACCGCGCCATAGAACAAGGACGTTGCTTTAAACGGGAATCCCTTGCGAACGACTCGATTAGGATTGCGATGCCGCCATAGCCTATCCGACCGACGATCCTTCTCATCTCCCTCTTCGTCATGGCTTCTCTGGCCCTCGTGAAAAGGATTTCGCTTGAACCGAAACCTGTCGCGAATCGAATGGAACCCTAGACCCCAACTGTTGTCCGATGCCGGAGGCAGAATCTCAGGAGTCGAGCCTCTTCCCATCTCAGCTTCCTCTTCTGTTTTGTTTCCTCCCGAACGAACAAAAATTACAAAATCAAGGAAAGCTAATGGCGGGAGAGGCGTACGTAAGATAGGTGCGCCCTGAGGACGGACGGCTCTTCGAACAGTGGCTGCCGTGGCAGTGTCGAGATCGTCGGCATGAATGAATCAATCGACCTGGCTTTGAACCTCTCTCTCTCTCTCTCTCTCTCACTGTGAGTTTTACATTTTAGTCGTTTTTTTTATGGGTATTGCGGATCTGTTATTGCCGGTTCCTTTTTTGCTTGTTAGTTAAAAACGTTACGAAGAGATGACGTTATATGCCGGAAACTTATGCTGTGTTTGGTTGGAAGGAGAAGATGGAAAAGAAAGGGTTGTATAGGTTTCCCTGACTTTTCTTTCAAACCAAACACAGCTTAAAGTTTATGAATCGGGTCGGGTGGCTGGGACGCAGCACGCAGGGTGTTCACATTCCGGTTTGGTGATCAAATCAGCGAAATACGGTTGACAATCAAGCCAAAATATTTTGATACGAAAATTAATCAAAATAAACTTTTTTCCGGCGAAACCAAACTGTTTTATTAGGGTGTAGTGTGGTTTTCAATGGGCTTTGGATCATTCCATTGGATTAATCCTTAGTATATGGGCTTTCATAAATAACAAGTATAGTCTATGTGAGCACTAAATTTAGTTTGAACAAAATATTTTTAAGAGACCAAAGTCAATTCCATTAATCATCAAATATAGTTTCAAAAATTCATATAATATATGCATATATACGTGGTTTGGTTTTTAAAATTCAGGAAACCAAACCATTTTTATGTCCAAACCATCAATTTCAATTGGTTCAATTCGGTTTAATAGTCTCGATCATATAATGAGTGAAAATTAGAGCGGCAATAACAAATACTTAGTAGATAGTATAGCAATAACCAGATAATAATAATAATAATAATAATAATAGGAGTACAAGTCGAGTGGTTGACCTAGGTCTAAGCTCAACCCATGTCCAACCCTAAGAATTAGGCCCAAGTCTCAAGCCTGATACCAAGCTCTTTCTCTCTCTACATCACTCTTTGTGAGAAGTTGTTGCCGCTATCTCACTGACGAAGAGTTGATCGGTATACTGTCATCGGATGCAAAAAAATAATAATAATAATGTCCAACAATACCAAAAAAACCATTTGCATCTTTTATGTTGTGGCCAGAGAGAACGTTTGTAAACACATATACCATACTAGCTATTTTAATCATATCACAACCAATATTTTTATGAATTATTGGGTTGGGGTAAGGTTATTCAAACAAATCATAAAATTGTAGTTTTTTATTTAAAAAGCTTTATTTTCTAAAGTTAATTGACAAAATACTAACAAAGGGGTCTTTGTTACAATGTAAAAGTTTAGGGGGTCTTTGTCACAAGTAAGAGTTTAAGAAAGTCTTTCTTACAAATGAGTAAGTACAGAGAGTATTAGATACAGACCCCATAGTGCAGGGGTCTTTGCAATTTATCCCCCGCCCCCAAAAAAACAAAAAAAAACAGGTAGTTTCTTTGCAATTAATGCAAATTCGTTTGCATTGATGCATGCAAAAGTACAAGAGTACAAATAAATGAGAGCAGTACCTTGTTTGTTTCAGGTTTTATTTCACTTTGTTTGTTTGCAATGCAAATGAAGTAAAAAACATAACCTAGAACAAAGTAGCACAAAACTTGAAGCAAAAGTGAACACAATAGAATTTGCATTCTTCTCATCTTCACATAATATATAGGGATTCTATTACTTTTATTTTCATGTTTGTCAATCGGTGATGCAGTCTTAAAGGGTTATAAGTTCTAACCATGAAAGAGGTCCTAAGGCTATGTTTGGTTTGAAGGAAAAAGTAGGGAAATGTAATGAAACCTATACAAGGTTTGTAAAGGTTTCCCTTCCTTTCCCTACTTTTTTTCCTTCAAACCAAACACAGCCTAAAGGAAAGGACTGGATGGTGGTTCCAAATCTTACCAACCCCTTTAAATTAACACATCACCTTCAACACAAAGGGGCCTGTTTGACGCCAAGATGAAATGGTTGAACTGAATGACTTGTTTCTTTGCGTTTCAGTGACTGTACTATCAAGTATTTTATCTTATAGAAGACAAAACAATAATTCATTCAGTTTAGCAACTTCAGCTGTTATCAAATGGACCAAGGTGTAGAAATGAATTTTCACCCGGTTACGATGTAAATTATGTCTAAATAATATCTGAAATATCTCAGCTGTCTGAATTCCTTTTCCATTGATTACAAATAAACAAAGACAATATGTAATTTATGCAAACAATTATATTTTTTTTGGTTAAAAGATAATCATGGTTTTCAAAACCGGACAGTCGGATTGGAAAGACCAGGAACTGGCAGGTGACAGATTCCATTTTACCCCATAATTGTTATTTAGCCAAAAACCGTTGATTTGGCTAACAAACCGCTGACTCAGGTGGTCGAAACCATTCAAACCATCTAACGATTTGACCCTTTTTTTTGTCAGAATGGGCCATCCATTCAGTTAGAATGATTGGACCATTCAACTCCAAAACTGAACCCCTAATCGATCCATTGTTCGGTTCGATTTTAAAAACCTTCAAGATAATTATAATCTTGCATTGAGTGTTTGGTGACCCAATAGAGTGGTTCTTCAATCATAATCCAACAAGGTCCAACACAGTTTTCGGATTGGGTTCAGATTGATCCCTCTTCTACTTGTGTCAAATGTACTTATTTTCTTGCTCGAGGGTCGAGGTGAATCCAGTTTTGACATTATCATATGCAAAATGGATACAGTTATCTTGGTTCAGAAAAAAGAAGCCTTTAAACATGAAATTATTGGCATGCCTATGTATATATTATATAAATAAGTACATGTAAACATATTTATGGATATATAATTGTGCGCACATACATATATACATACATACATCTATATTCACCTAACCTAATTGAAAGTTAATTGGGTTATTACTTTTAAACCGTAACCTAAACTTTAATTCAAATCAAATTTTTGAATTAAGTTTGAGTTAATCGGCCCAAATTGCAGCCCTATGGCCATCCATAAGGTTTGACCCCTCTCATAAAAATTTCTTAGCTCCACCCTTGAACCGTCCCATTGGACAGGGCACATGTGTGTCGAGATCCTCTAGAGATAAACATGGGCAATGGGCATTATCAAATAACTTTAATCACATTTTTTTTATTTCCAAATAAAAAAAAAGGCATGTATTTCTTAGCATTATGATAGCTAGTGCCTAGGGATAATGGATTGAGACCCATCACACACAATCATAATTCATAACGCACATAGTATGCATATTATTTTGGGAGAATGACCGATACCCCCAGTGTCAGAATTTATAGGTTCAAAGTACATTTGGGGTAGGTGCCAGCTCATAATTGATGCCAATTCACGGGCGGGTATGGTGCATAGGGTGTGGTTTTTGGACATTTTGAATGTTATAGCTGTAGTGGGAATCAGAAATCTTCATTGGGTGTATTTGTACTTCTCCATATTATTTTCCCTTTCCTTGGACTTTTCAATTCACCTTTTGGGCTCTAGGGCCGAATGAAGCTGCTCTTCTTTTTATATTTTTTCTTTCACTATATTTGTTTTGGAAAGGATGACTATTGGCTTGCCCAACGGGGTTTATTGTAGGGTCATTTACTAAAACACTCTATATAGTTTTATATATTTACTAAAACCTACCTTATAGTTTATATTTTACTAAAACTCTCCTTATAGTTTGCAATCAATTTACTTAAATGACTTTCTATCAATAATCATTTATATTTCTGTCTAAAAATGGTAACTTGACCATCTATACTGAATGAAAAATGTTCAAGGGCATGGGTATATGTTATTTTATTCTGAAATTACCCCTAATATATCATATTGAGCTTTTTAAAATGAACCATTGTTTGATTTTCAGATATACCACACAATGTTTGATTTATATAGAATGAAGAAGAGAGAACAGTGCATACCAGGCTATTAGTTAATTTGCAACATCATTTCTTCCTTCTTCAAATGGAGAATAAAATTGATCGAAAAGAGTTGTGGCCCATGTTTTACTAGGGGCAAGAGTGACATTTCCATTTATATTTTTTGTAGATTATATTGGTCCAAACAGATCCAAGGTCAAAACTATCATTTCCACTCCAACCTAATGGAAGGTTGATTAAGTAAATCAATTGTGAACTATAGAGGGTGTTTTAGTAAAACACAAACTATAGAATACGTTCTAGTAAATCCATAAAATTATAGGGGTGTGTTAGTAAATGACCCTTTATTGTATTTTTATATTTTGACAAAATTATCTACTTGAAGTTTAAATGGGTTCGGCTTGATATGAAAAAGATATGATATTCGAAAAACAGCTGACCAATAAATTGGAATCATAAAAGTGGTAGCAAATAAGGTGTTATTTATCAAAATTTATGGGTGGATTTTGATTGCTCAAAACTCTTCCCATACCATGTCTTTCCCGCATCATAGATTTCCCTAGTTTAAATTTATGCATCAATTTAAATATTTTATGGAGACAAAATTTGATTTCGCTAAAAAATAAAACATGACTGCATGCAAATTCTTGCATTTTTTTGTTTATAGTGAAAGGTTCATTACCTGAACAAAAATGTATTGCCCTTAGGGTGGCAATGGCAATGGAACTGTGGAAGTGGCAAAAGGTAGTCCATCTTCCAAACCTAAAACTCCTCCAACTTTGATGAATGTGAGATTTGACCCCAAGTCTCTGTTTTGCCAGTCACAGACCTTATTAATGGAACCAATTAGCAAATGCTCTGATGAGGGCGAATTTGGCCCTCCAATGACATCATGACACATGGCATATTGGAACAACTACTTGACACATAGACACCACCTAAGCAATGACTTAGAGTCCCATATCGTGGTTTCTCTTCACCTAGACCTAGCGACCTACCTTCACCGCCAACCTAGCGACCTCCAATGACATCACTAGCCGAAGTGACCTCGATGCAAGGAGCGACCTCCCTTGAGGGCATGCCGACCTGACTGAGGTCTAGGTGGCGACCTGCGAGACATGCTCGTTGACAAATTCGGCATGCATATCCCGACACTCCCACGATTCTTGGAAGTTGGCCACATATTGAACATTCCGGAGGGTGGTCAACATGCATGATGTTTACCTCCAAGGATTTCGGACCGGTTAGGCACAATCTCCCAAAAATCTCGGATGCAGTACGTGAGGCCCACACTAAACAATGCTTATATAAAGGCACCAACCCCAAAGACCCAGAGAGGAGAAAAAAGAGAGGTACGCGCGATTATTTGCTCACTAGCGCTCTAGCATTCAAGTATTCAGCTTGTATCCATAATATAGTATTGACTTAAGCATCGGAGCGACCTCGCCGGGTTAGCCACCCCGGGTTCTCTGATCTATTATCATGCAGCTTGGTCTAGTTCACCATGCGACTGGTGTTCAAATCATCTTCCAACTAGGAGTATTTAGATCGCGCATCATCAATTGGCGCCGTCTGTGGAAAATGCTACAAAAGGCTATGTTCTCACTCGAGTCTCTGAGCCTCAAGTAATAACATCTTCAAGCAACAACAACAACGCTTGATTAAAAGAACCCCCTAGGGGGGCAGAAGCAAAATGATTAGCCCAAACGAGTTCTCGCAGTCTTGCCTGGACAAAATCTCCCTAACTGTGAGGCCACCCCCATATGTCGAGCTCTACGTGCTCTCTACAAGAGTTGACGGCCAATAGAATGTGAGGCCACCCCATATGTCGAGCTCTACGTGCTCTTTGCAAGAGTTGACGGCCAATAGAATGTGAGGCCACCCCATAGGTCGAGCCCTTCGTGGTTCCCATGCGAGTTGATAGCCAACAAACTGTGAGGTCGCGCTGCAAATCGAGCCCTCCATGCTTTTTGTGGGAGTTGATGGCCAGCGGGTTGTGGAGCCACCCTTGCAGGTCAGTCCTGCTGAGGTGACGAGGTGTTTGTAGACCAAGGTACTGAGAGCAAAACTAGATTGTCAAAATTCCGATGACCTGGAGACCTGGAGACTTGCCTCCGAACTGACGACCTGCTTCCGTCGGCCTAACGACCTACTTCCACCAACCTAGCGATTTGCCTTTGCCGCCAAGATGGCGACCTACTTCCGCTGACCTAGCAACACACATAATCAGCCCGGATGAGCTTTGTTAGCCTTGTTCGTGAGGTTACCCCTATAAGTAGAGCCCTCCATGGCTCCTGCAGGAGTCGGCGGCAAACAGACTGCAATCGCCCTTACGGGTTGAGCCTTTCAAGGTTCCCATGCGAGATGGCAAATTACAGTTAGTAAAGATGCCCCCTGCAGGTTCAGCTCCTTGTGGCTTATCGTAGGAGTAGACGACCAACGCCTTAGAGGACTGACATAGTGCAGCCGTGACACCGACCCGCTATTTAAATTCCAACATCGACACACATAGCAAGGGGAAGCTAAACTGCTTTCAGCATCAAGGACCCCTAAACCGACCTCGAAATATGTTGGTAATATGCCAAAGGACCAACGACGAAGCACGAATCTACTCCCTTCGCTGAGCTGATCTTAGCTCGGGAGTGGGGGGCAATTGATGAGGGCAGATTTGGCCCTCCTCTGACATCATGACACATGGCATATCAGAACAGCTGGACTACATCCCAGTATCACCTAGGCGACAACTTGCCTTAGCCAAAATGGGGTCCCAGCTGGCGACTTGACTCTACCGCCAACCTGGCGACCTACTTCTGCTGGCGACCTGGCGACCTACCCTTACTACCGACCGGGCGTCCTACTTCTGTTGCCGACCTAGCGACCTACATCTTCCGCCGACCTGGCGACCTGGCGGTCTACCTCTCTCGCCGACTTGGCGACCTACCTCTCTAGAAGCTTGCTAGTTGTCTCTGAACCTTTCGGGATCACGCCGCGTAACCGTAGGCCTTATCCTCATCCTGCCCGAATCGGAGGGAAACAGTAAGCCTTATTAATTGGCACGTTATCCTCATTCCAAAGCGGAATGGACCCCTACGTCGTGGGCCGAAGATTCTGGGAGTGTTTCGCAATACCCACGGCAGCCCAACTATATAAGGGCATCAGCCTCTGAAACCCATGTAGATGCGCAATTTAGTTCTCACAGCTCTTCACCTTTCTCACATTTAGCTATCTTAAAATCTTTGATTCGCTAACTTAAGCATCGGAGTGCCCACCCTGGGTAAAGAAACCCGGGCACTCTGACACTGTTTCTTTGCAAGTCGCATCAGAGCCACCTCTCCAGCTTGTCACCATTCAGTTAAGCATCAAAGCCACCTCTTCAGCTCGTCACCATTTAGCTAGGCATCAGAGCCACCTCTCTACCTCGTCACCACTCAGTTAGGCATCAGAGCCACCTCTCCAGCTCGTCACCATTCAACTAGGCAACAGAGCCACCTCTCCAGCTCGTCACCATTCAGCTAGCCAACTGAGCCACCTTTCCAGCTCATCACCACTCAATTAGGCATCAGAGCCACCTCTCCAGCTCGTCATCATTCAGTTAGGCAATAGAACCGCCTCTCCAGCTCGTCACCATTCAGTTAAGCAACAGAGCCATCTCTCCAGCTCATCACCATTCAGTTAGGCATCAGAGCCACCTCTTCAGCTCGTCACCATTTAGCTAGGCATCAGAGCCACCTCTCCAATTTGTCACCATTCAGCTAGGCGTCTAAAGCCACCTTCCAGGTAGGAACCATTTAGTTAGGCATCCTAGCCACATTCTAAGTAAGAATTATTCAGCCAAGCATCCGAGTCACCTGCCAACGGGGAACTGCCGAAATGCGCATCATCATGTTCCATGTATAAGAATGCAACTTGGGCTTGTTAGGGTTGAGATTTTGTCAAAATTGTAATGGGTCTAACCGTAAAATATTAACTCAGTCCAACCCGAGTCGCACCTATATCCATGTTAGTCTCTTTCGATTGCTATATTCGATTTTCCATTTTTTAAGATTTTAAAATTCAAAAATAATCATAAATTTCCTTTCCATTTAGGTTAGTTTCCAAATGTGATAGGTGGATGGGATTCCATATACGTAAATAGGTGGGACTCGATTTCCTAATACGTGAATAAGTGGAATGCAAAGTGAGTGAGAGCTTGCTGATTGTCTTAATAGGAGTGGTGGGAAGGGGTGAGGAGATTGGGTCTTGTTGCCTGTGGCCCGCATAATGGCATGAGGGCTGTGCCAGACCCGGCATGATAATATATAATATATTAATAAAATAAATAATTGTTTTTAATTTTATTATATTAATTTATTTAATTATTGTATATAAGTAATTGTATACATCAAAATTCATATAAAATTAAAATTTTAAGTTTTTTTTTTAAATAAATAGCTTTGGCCCAGTCCACGGCCCCGCTTGACCTGCGGTATGACACGATTAGTCCTATTTATGGGCCGGGTCAGGCCGGGCTTGAGCCGGGCTTTGACTCTTTATTAACAAAAAAATGTTAGGCCCGAGCCCGAGCCCGACCCAACCAACGGGCCTACAAATTGGGCCCGAGCCCGACCCTGATAAAAAGCCCGAAGCCCGACCTAATAAAAGAAATTCGAATTTTTCCCTATTCAAATAATTATCTATTTTTAATTCAGATGTTTTTTTCCCCTATTTAAATAAACAATGGGCCTACAAGTGAATCAACAACCTTCTCAAATCGAAAAATTTATTCAAATGGACATCACATAGGGTTTTCACTTAGGTTTAACTATAGGTCGGGCCGGGTTTACTTAGGTTTAACTATAGGTTGGAACGGGCCGGGCTCAGGCCGGGCTATTTTGGCAAAGCCCGAGCCCAGCTCGAATTTTATGCGGGCCGGGCTTTTTGGCCTGAGGTTAAGCCCACGGACCAAAAAGCCTATTCAAGCCCGTTTGGGGGTCGAGCCGGGCCGGACCGGCCCATCGGGCCACCCGGCCCATGAACAGGTCTAGACACGGTACGATATGGGTCCACATGGGCTTGGACCGTGCTGGACCAATCCCCCAAGTTATCCCAAGGGAGAGCGGCACGGCTCGTACAAACCCGTTTTACACCTCTAAGAGAGAGTTAAGGATAATGAAGGGTGGAGGTAATGGAATAAGGAGTGGCATGTAATGTCTCTATATATATATATAAATAAATAAATAAATAAATTGATAATTTTGGTCAATCGATCATTTTTAGGCTGACCAAATAGAACTGAAAAACCGGAATTTTGCAAAATTAAAAACCGAAACCAAATTGATTGGTCAGTTAATCGGATTTTTTCGATTTGGTCTCTCTGTTTTTATGATCAGCCCTAAAAATAATAGGAAATTAACTACATTTCCAACTCATAAAAATCATATCAAACATGAAAAGAAGTACAAAAAATATAAATTTCATCCTTATTCTTTCATGCTTTTTTCAGCTTTTTTCTTGGTGGAAATACACACCCTTTCTTTTTTAAAAAAATATGATTTGAAACTTAAAAATCAGCATAACAAACCAAAAAAAAAAGCATATAATGTAATAAATAAATAAAAAAAGGAAATGAGAGGGAGAGATAGATAACGGGGTAACCGGGTAAGTGGGTATCTGGGTAAAGACTAAGGCGTAAGGGTAAGGGAGGATGGGCGGCTGTCCTCTCATTTTCCATCACAAATCACCTTTGTTTTGTTGTCAATAAATGATAAACAAACATTAATGAAGAGCTAATAAAGGCCAAAAACAAACTCGATTCTCGAAAGTCGAAACTCAAGCAAGCAATTCCAATTCCATAACCAAATACTAGTCCAAAGAGTCCAGACTCCAAGTAAACCCATGGTCTATGGTCTATGATCTTCTCAGACTTCTCTCCAAAAAGTTAAAAAATGAAGTAAAAGACAAGTCCAACTAAACATCAATCAACAGATCAGATCCCTTGTGCGATTATTCTTTCTCTCCTCCTCCTCCTCTATGTGCAACAAAGAAAGAAGATAAACAGTAGAGGGGAGAAGGAAGCAGATACAGAATGTCTCAGAATCTCGCAGAAAACGGCATCGATGGGGATGATGAGAGGGAAGAAGAGGAGGAAGACTACGAAGAAGAAGCTGAGGATGAAGACGAGGAGGAGGGGGAGGAAGAGGAGGAGGAAGAAGAAGAAGAGGAGGAGCCGAGGCTCAAGTACCAGAGAATGGGAGGGAGCATCCCTTCGCTTCTCTCAAACGATGCCGCCTCTTGTATTGCTGTTGCTGAGCGTATGATCGCTCTTGGTACCCATGACGGCACCGTTCATATACTTGATTTTCTGGGCAATCAGGTAATTCATACTCCTCTCTCTGATACCCAATTCGATTCTTTCACCTTTTCGATTCATTATTTCATTTTCACAACCAATTTGTCCGGTTAACTGAGCAGAATGGTTATAGATAAAAAAGTATGCTTGTTTGAGTAATTACAAAATTTGAGTTCTGTTAAGACTTTTTTTTTTTTATGTTGATTTTGAACGTGGAAATAATTCATGGGCATCAACTTGGATTCATGTAATAGTCGTAGGCCCAAGATTTTATATCTTGTTAGAAGTTATGTGCGTCGTGTTATTAGTTTTATCGAGAGAGCCCCATTGGTTAGGCAATATAGATCCGAGGCATTTGAAAGTTTAACGTTTTTGAGTACAAATTGTAGAGAGCAATGAAGTAATTGATCAATTATTTTATCAACTTGATAAATCCCTTTTTTTTTGATGAATGATTGATAAATCCCTTATTTATAAACAAGCAATGTGAAGTAATATGTGTAAGGGCAATGAAGATTAAAATGATTAACTTGTTTTTTGATCAATAACAAAACTTTTATTAAGAAATAAAAGGAAACAGATACAAGAAAGTAAGGGGAGAGGTAAACTCTCTTAACCCTCCTCAACAAGAAAAACTCAAGATTACAACAAAGCCCAAAACCAACTATTCCTTCCCACCCCTTGTTTAGAAAGTGCATTAGAAAAAGAATTAGCACTTCTCTTCACCTATTGCAATTTTATCTCCATGCCCTAGGTCAGCCACTTAAACTTCCTTTTTCTATTAGCAAAATTCCATAATCCATTCTCCTTTTGCAATTATCCTATGACCAACTTTGAATCACCTTCAACAATTAGCTTTCTGATATCTAGTTCAGATGTAAATCAGTTCTCTAATATCAGATTTAAAAACAGTGATTAACAGAACAAATCAGAGCTGAATAATAGTGCAAGAGCTGTGTATGTCGAAGAGAAGAGGTAAGAGAAGAAGGAGTCGAATAATCCACCCTTCTACCCTAACCCTATTTATTAATCTCCAAAAATTAATGATGACAAGTATGCCCTTAAGTGGGCGGCCAGCTTGGCAATTACATAAAGAAAATAAAACAAGAATAAATAACAGGCCCATTAAGTGAGGCCCATCAACATAAAATAAAAGATAAAAAAGGATTTCACACAAGAGTCTGTTAGGGCCCATTCGGCCCAGTCTCTTTACAAGTTCCTTAGCCCTTTTTATGCCTTCCATTGCCATCAAGACCTCAGCTCTAAGTGAACCACCTTCACCGACAGAGCATGAGAATAAAGCAATAACTTTCTCTTCCTCATCTGTGAAAACTCCTCCAATGCATGATGGACCTGGGTTGCCTTTATTACTTCCATCAAACATCAACTGAGTGAATCCATTAGCTAGTGGTGACTAAAGGGGATTAACCACAGTTTTTAGGGGGGGCTGAATTAGCCACTTCCTTCCAATTTCTAATCAACATGTCTGTAGATAGATCCTCAAAGATCTTCAAAGATTTCACTCAATGTACCACTCTAATAGTAATTGCTTCAATAATGGCATCTCTACTTCTTTTCTTATCAAAAAAGATCCATAAGTTCCTTCGTTCCCAGACTGTCCAGCAAATAGCAGCTCTTACAAATCTCTATTTAACTTTATCCCTCTTCTTTGACCTCCTAACAGATGAAGAAGCAAATGAGCTTTGTATATTTGGCGAGGGGGTCCACTTGCAACCAAACAAAGAAAGAAATCAATCCCGAATAAGGAAGTTACCAAAAACAACTCCTAATTGCTTTAATAGTAATACAAACCCATACATAACCTATAGTGACAGCCAAATATGAGTCTAACTCCTAAAACAACTTCAAATAACCATTTTAATATTTTTTCTATCAGCAATAACCACTTTTAATTTTTACTAAAACTATACAAATAAAGGACAAATTCAAGATATACCCAAAAACAGAAACTTTAGAATCTCATCATAGATTTGCATCATATTACTAAAATGGCGTTAACTTTCCAAGGCACATTGGGTTCACAAGAACTTGGTCTTGTTGTATGGGTAATTAAATAACCTATCTAAAGACACCAAACATCAAGTTTTTTCTTTTTTTTTTGCCGCAAGACACCAACATCAAGTTAAATGAAGAAATTTTGACCTCTTAAACATGGACTGCAAGAGAGATGATGTGATTACAACCATTACTATTCAAAATTCCAAGATATTTTGAAGTATTGACCTTATCAATACCTCAACACCATCAATTTCTTGGCTATGACCTCCTGTGAAGATTTTCTAGGCTAGTGGAATCTCTAGGTGCCTCTTTGGCTCTAAGCATGAGTAACAAGTTTCTCAGGGAAGGTCTAAAATGCATACCTGCTTTTGTGTTACATCTGTGCTAAGTTATAAAATCCAACTTCCTAATTTGATTATCAAATGACAAATCTTGTTTACTTTTTTAAACCAAGACATGCTTGCTCATATGACTTTTGCACATGTGTTACATCTGTGCTAAGTAAGAATTATAAGTTTTTATGCAACTTCATGATTTTTTTGATCAATAAAAGGAGATTTTATTAAAATCAAGTTGAAGTATTACAATAATGGGGGAGATTTCTCCATCCCACAGACTGATATATAATTTATAATGTTGCCAAAACATTTAGTGCCTAGCTGTCCCTTGTTTATCCAGACCATTCACCATCCCATTTGCTGTTCTTCTTACTTATTTAAAGACAACATTCAGCTCCCTTGTTATGCTTTCTATTTCCTGAAAAGCATATCTATAGATCCATGGGATTTGAGAGTTGCATTTTATCCAAGAAATGACCACCTGAGAGTCCCCTTCTACCTCCAAGTTGTGGAAACCAAATTGCTTAGCAAATTTTAAACCATGGAGTAGTCCTTGTAGCTCAGCTGTCAAAGCATTACCATCTGCCAAGGGTCCTGAAAACAAAGCTAACACTTTCCTTCTGTGTCTCGGAAGACTCCACCCAATCCAGCTGTAGCTTGATTGCCAATATAACTTCCATCAAAGTTGAGTTTAACAAAGTTGGCTGCTAGGGGTGTCCAGTCCATAGTTACTCTTTCCTTGACTTGAGCCGATAATGCCACTTCATTCTAGGTTCTCAAAATGTCATTTGTTGAGAAAATTTGCAAATACTCCAAGGTCTTCACCCAATGTGCAACTTTAATTTTAATTGTGTCAATGATCTCCACATCTGTTTTACTCTTTTCACTGAAAATCCTCCCATTCCTTTCTTCCCAAATAGTCCATAACATAGCTGCTCTTACTGCTTTCCACATAATTCTTCCCCTTTTTCTTTGGCTGTCTCATGAAATTTGGATCAAAGAGACCCACTACATCCTGTGGAGGAGTCCACCTGCACCCAAAAAGAGAACAAAGGTGCTCCCATGTACAAAGTACAAAAGGACAAAGTTAGAAAAATATGGGAAATGGTTTCACCATTGTTTTTGTAGAGAAAGCACATGTGAGGGGATAAACACTTATTTGGCCTTCCTTTCTAAAGCATATCATAGGTGTTAATCTTTCCAAGGAAGGTTTCCCAACAAAGAGCCTGCATTTTTGGAGGGATTACTCCAAATTTCTTTCACCGAGAAATTCACCCCCAAGATAGAAGGCTGAAATAAGAAATTAAAAAAAGAAGCACAAGTGAACAAACCATTTGGAGAAATGGACCAAACCCTGTTGTCCTCCACATTTTGATCCAAAAAGATAGACTCAAGTCTAGCCAAAAGAAGGACCAGAGATTCACACTCTACTTCCCTGAAGCCCCTTTTGAATCCAAGATCCCAATTTAAACCTAATGCAGAGAAATTCACAAACTTGGAGATGGGTTCAAATTTGTAGCAGGAGAGTGCATAAAGTGCAGGAAATTGAACCTTTAGTAGTTGCTCACTTGTCCAAAGTGTTGGAAGGGTTAGGATTCACCATATGGATGGCCCAATCATGCTAGATGGCCAGGCGAAATTTAAAAAATTTCCTAATCCTTCTGGGTATCGAATTCCCTATGTTTTGAAAAACTGCATTTTTCAGGATTGGTCTTGCACTGAACTAGACCAGATTTGAAACCAAACAAAGAGGGGGATTTGTACCTGATCTGGATACCACAAATGCAGATCCCAAAGTGGAAGTTCATGCCCAAATCAGTCATAAAACTAGCCTCCATTGAAGATGGCACAATGTATAGGTGAAGCTGATTCAACAATACAATTTTCAGCAAAACTGAGATTAAACTGCTTGGATCGAACTGAGGATTATAAGCCTCGCCCCCTCCTCTTTTATAATCTCTTATGGAGCTATCTCCTAATCTAATTAAGAGATAATCCAGATCTAAATTATGTCTGACTTTAATTAGAGATAAACCTTATCTTCTTATAAGATTAGGTGCTCCATACCTAGATTTGCCCAACTTAAGTTGTCATGTGCCAATTTAATTAATCATATTAATTATGGGCCTTAGGCCCATCAGGTATAAGGCTCACAACCCAAGGGTGTTCTTAGCCATGATTTGTATGGCGTGGGACCCCACATTGACCTCACATAAGTCCACATGGGTTCAGCCCAACCTCTATGAAAATGTTTGGCCAAATTCACTACTAAATGCAGTGAACCCCTAAGCACATCACTATGGGATCAATATGGGCCCAACATTTACACTTAAATGATCATTGAATTTAGCCATCTTATGAAGATCCAAAGATAATGGATCTTAAGTAAGATAAAGTCCATTAGGTAATCAGCCCTGTAATGGTCTCTTACACTTAACCTCTCAGCCCATAATGATCACAACACTGCCCGACAGGGAAGGACCTCTCCCTTGGCTGCAAGGCGCAGTGTCACACTCTCTACTTGAATGGATCCCAGGAATTAAAACCTTTTGCAAACATTTTTCATAAAACATTAATATATATATATCATATAAATATATTTTGGAAAACCAAATCTCAAATACAGTTGAAATCCACTGCTGACAATTTAGGTTTCCATTAGAGAGAATGTAAGCCCTATCATTCACTTTGTCCGATAAAGGGGCCGATCCTATCACTATGATCACCCACTCAAGTGATTTCTTAAACTGCCCCAACATACTCAGGTTTTGACCCTTGATGGGTCTCACTGATTGGCATATTAAAGACAACCCAATCTAACACCTAGTGTGGTACCATAATCAAGTCTAGGTGTTATGTGTGACTTTCCAGTTTTGCCCATCAATCTCCAAGGTCTAAGGTATAACTGGAAAATGGTTCGAGTTCAGTGTTTCATCCAAACACACACTGCATGCGTTTCGGGTCTAACTCTAACAATTGAGACAAGCTACCCCAACTTCTTTGGCAGCACACCAGTGCCAGCCTTGGTAGGATAAACTCCCAAAGGCTATCCAATGGCTGAGAACATTATAAACTAACACGAGTCTCATAAGTGTCCAGTTTAAGGGGTAATTACACAGAAACATTACCAATATCAACATGAAACAATAATGTACTTTTATTCATTTACAATAAATGTATCTGTACATCAATCTGATTGGAGCTAAGGGCATACACTGTCTAACACAAAGGTCCTCCCAGAACAAAACTCTCAATCTACAATTAGTTTTCTAGATTGCACATTCCCAACGAAATTTTTATGCAACTTTCATGATTGCTCAACATACAATTATGTTTCTAGATATCACACTTGCATGTTTTGGAGTCTAAGGTACTTAGAAATTAATTATTTTTTCTTTAAATTAGGCATGCCCCTGACGTTTGTAAATTTTATATATTCCTATCCCAAAAATCTGCATGGTGTGTCATTCTCCATGAAGATATTTGATACATTAATTGAAGTGTTAGTGACAAAATACTTTCTATTGGATTAACTAAACAAGGGGTAAACAGGGACCAATTTTTATTGGGGATATTTGTAAGACAATAACTTGTATCTCAAAAGATGGAAGGGTTAGGCAGTTTATGCTAGCTTATACCATGGGGTGCTTGGCACTTTTGAGTTTTGATCCAAAGCCAAGACTTTGCAAACAAACTCAAGCCTTGAGACTTTCACAAGAAAAATCCCAAAAGAAACACTCGAAATTGATTCCTGAAATAAAAGCTACATATGACCACCTAGTTTCATTTTCATTTTTTTAATAATAGAATCATAAAGCCACAAAAATGTGGCTACCAAGAAATATACACAGAACATATCTTGCTGGACTGTGGAGACATCAAGGGGGGTCTTACTCCGTTTAGGTTCAAACACTGTTGGCTTGAGGAACCGGGTTTTGTGGATGCAGTGGCAGGCTGGTGGGCAGGAATGGGTTTTCAGGGAACTGCAAGCCACAGAATGAGTAAAAATTGAAAGAGTTTAAATCAAAGATCAAGGATTGGAACATGGGAACACTCAAGGGGGTTGAAAACAGGAAGGAATGTTTAGACACAATTGTTATCTATCAAAAAATGTTTAGACACAATTTTTGAGGTGGACAGGCTGGAGGTATGGATAGTGAGAAGAGGAAGAAAAGAGAGTTAGCTAAAAGAGAGTATGACAAACTCTCTTACCAGGAGGAGATCAAATGGCGGAAGAGGTCTAGATGTTTATGGCTGAAAGAGGGGGAAAAAAACACAAGTTTCTTTCACAAAATGGCAAGCACAAGAAGAAGGGAAAATACAATAAAAAAGGTAGAGGTGCAAGGGGCAGAGATTGAGGAAAGGAAGATTAAGAAGACCATTACCAAGTACTATGAGAATCTTTACAAAGAGGACTGGCGGTTGAGACCTGGTTTAGATGGGCTGCATTTTGAATCCTTAACAGTTTCAAGCTCAGGAGTTAGAGAAGCCTTTCTCAGAGGATGAAGTTTGGGGGGGTGATTAAGGAGATGGAAGGAGATAAGGCCCCCGGACCTGATGGGTTCACCCTTACCTTTTTTAAAAAATGCTGGGAAGTGGTGAAAGACGACTTGTTGGAGGTAGTAAAGGAATTTCATGAAAGAGGGGCATTAGAGAGGAGTTTGAATCACACCTTCATCTTGTTAATTCCTAAAAAGAAGGGAGCAGTGAAACTTAACGACTTCAGACCTATCAGTCTTGTCGGAAGTGTATATAAAATTATAGCCAAACTATTGGCAAATAGAATGGCAAAAGTGATGAATATGCTGACTTCGGATTCCCAGGGAGCTTTTGTTGGGGGAAGGCTGATTGTAGATGGGGTGCTCATTGCAAATGAGTTAATAGACACAAGAAAGAAAAATGGAAGGGCCAGCCTACTTTGTAAAGTAGATATGGAGAAGGCATATGACCATGTAAACTGGAATTTCTTGGACTATATCCTAAAAAGGATGAACTTCGAGGAGAGATGGAGGAATTGGATAAAAGTATGTATATCCCTCCATCTTTCTCAGTGTTGGTGAATGGGGTTTCCTGCGGGATATTTCGAAGTTCAAGAGGATTAAGACAGGGGGACCCACTGTCTCTGTTCATCTGTGTAACTGAGGCCCTTTCTAAAATGATGGAGAGAGCATGTTCGGGAGGGTGGTCAGAAGGCTTTAAAGCAGGAGATGACCAAGTAGAGGTTCCCCTTCTACAATTTGCAGACGGTACATTGTTTTTTGGTGATGCTTCTTGGGAACAGCTGGAAATGGTAAAAGCAGTTCCGAGATGGTTTGAGGTAATTACTGGACTTCACATCAACACTTCAAAGACTGAGTTGTTGGCTGTTGGGTCAGTGGAAAACTTGGAGGAGTGGGCTGGGAATTGGGGTTGCAAAGTTGGAAACTTCCTACCAAATATCTGGGTTTGCCATTGGGTGATAACTGCAGATCAAAGGGCATTTGGAACTCTATTATAGAAAAAGTGGACAAGTGGCTGGCATCCTGGAAGACTAAGTATCTGTCTAAAGGCGGGAAATTCACTTTGATTAAAAGTGTGCTCTCATCTCTGCCAGTATACTATATGTCAGTGTTCCCAATACCAGTGAAAACTGCTGCTCTCTTGGAGAAAAAGATGAGGGGTTTTCTATGGAGAGGATGGAAGGAGGAAAATAAATGCCATCTGGTGAAATGGAAGTCTGTCTGCAGACCCAAAATTCAAGGAGGTCTGGGCATTAGAAATTTAAGGGAAGTCAACACTGCAATGCTAGGAAAATGGCTCTGGAGGTTTATGATCAGCTGAACAGCTTGTGGAGGAGTTAATTGCATCTAAGTATGGGCCGGCAGCGAGAGATTGGGAGACTGGTAACCCTAGACCCTCATATGGTTGCTCAATCTGGTAGGCAATCCAAAAAATTGAATCACAGTTTGTTCAAGGTATAAAATATGAGGTTGGGAATGGTCAAAGAGTTCTATTCTGGAAGGATTTTTGGTGCGAAGATGGACCTCTCAAGGACAGATATTCTGATCTGTTTGAAATAGCAGTGGACAAGAATGCAATAGTAGCGAGATTATTTGGAAATGCAGAATGGAGTGTGTAGAATCCTCAATTGCGTAGGGACCTGAATGATTGGGAGGTAAACTCTCTCCTAAGTTTGCTGCAGACTTTATACAATGTCAGATTGAATGGGGCTTTGGAGGACAAAAGAAAATGGAGGTTTGAAAACTCAGGAATTTTCTCTTTCAAATCTTTCTATAACAGTCTGACAAGGGATGAGTTTTCTGTTTTCCTGGACAAGAAGATATGGATAAGGAATGTCCATTCAAAAGTGTCTTTTTTTGTGTGGTCAGCGGTGTTAGACAGAATTCAGACTAGAGAAAATCTAGTTAGAGGGGGCATTCAAGTGCAGGATGAAAGGTGTATTTTCTGCAATAAAAGCATAGAAACCTCTAATCATCTGTTGATCCACCGTGAGCTCACCCATTGGATTTGGGGGAAAATTCTGGAATTGTTCGGGGTAAAGGTGGCTAAAGGGTCTGAGTGAGGCTGGAAGAGTTGCTTGGAACACTGTTCCTGCAGCTGTATTTTGTGCAGTTTGGCATGAAAAGAATCAGAGAATCTTCGAGGGGCATCACACTTCAAAGGAGGGAGTTCTTAAAAATATTATGGGCCTGCTGTATTAATTGCTGGCTAATCACTCACTTTTTAAATCTAGACATACAGTTTCCTTTTTTGACAAAGAGTTTATTTTTGGATAGTTTTATCTGTAAATGCGTAAAGGCTTAGTGGTTGTGTTTTCAGTTTTTGGGGTTTCCTTAAGTACAGTTTTCTCATTGTACAGGGAATTGGGGCTGATTGTATATCTTCTTTCTTTTCGTGGTTTAATACAATACCTTACTTTTTTCAAATATACACATACACACACAGAACATATTAAGTGGACTTGGTTACGAAATAGAAAAGTGACTCCTAATGACACTTTTGCCTTGAAAATGTGACTACCAAGAAATATACACAGAACATATCAAGCCATGAATCCTAACAAGTATATATCCCGAAGCATTTTCATAATTTTCTTGGTTTTCCTTCGCCTAACGACACTTTTGCCTTGCTTTTATTTGCTTTGGATACTTGACTAATAAAAGTGCATACAGAGCACTCTTTTGGGTATTCAGATAAATGTCATAATTGTGTCTTCAGATCATCTGAAGTTAAAACTGCAGATCAGTTCAAGCTTCAGCAAAGCTGGTGGCTGTATTTTCCAGGGAATCTTGGTTCCACATGGAATGCTATCATTTCATCTTTGTTTTTCTTAGTATTTGGATGCATATGCTGCTTAAGCTTTGTAGTGACTTCTTTGTGTTTGTTTTGTATAGGTTAAGGAATTCTCTGCTCACACTGCTACCGTCAATGATCTTAGCTTTGATACAGAAGGTGAATATGTGGGAAGCTGTTCTGATGATGGAAATGTTGTTATAAACAGCCTTTTTACAGATGAAAGAATGAAGTTTGAGTATCATCGCCCAATGAAGGCTATTGCTCTGGACCCAGATTATTCAAGCAAATCATCACAGAGGTTTGTCGCTGGTGGTCTAGCAGGACATCTTTATCTAAACACAAAGAAATGGATAGGCTTCCGTGACCAGGTTTGTTTTCTTAATTTTTGGAGATAAATTGAATGTAAATTCCTCAGTAATTTGTTACATTTCTGATGATGACAAATCCTCTTTTCTAGGTTCTACATTCTGGCGAAGGACCAATACATGCTGTGAAGTGGAGGACAAGTCTTATTGCTTGGGCCAATGATGCAGGTGTGAAAGTTTATGACACAGCCAATAATCAGAGAATTACTTTTATTGAGCGGCCACGAGGAAGCCCACGTCCTGAGCTGTTGCTTCCTCATTTAGTTTGGCAGGTTAGTGAAAGGTTTTTCACATGTTTTACATGCTAAAATCCATACTAATTATTATCTTAACATATTTAGGATGATACTCTTTTGGTTATTGGTTGGGGAACATCAGTAAAAATTGCTGCCATAAGAGCAAATCAATATACAGGAGCCAATGGGGTACAAAGGCACATACCAGTATCCAGTATGAAGCATGTGGATATTGTGGGATCTTTTCAAACCAACTATTTCATTTCAGGAATTGCTCCATATGGTGATGCTTTGGTTGTTCTAGCTTTTATTCCTGAGAAAGAGGATGGTGAAAAAAACTTTAACAGTACTCTTCCATCACGCCAGGTATCTTCTTTAATATTTTCTGATTAAAAGATACTTAGAAACCAATGTTTATGTTCTGTAGTACATACTAATTAATGACTTGATTCATAATCAAACTGTCATCAGACTTGTTTAAGTATGTGATGGTATCAAATTCTATAATTTATCTTTCTTGTGTGTATCTTTTCAATAAGTTCCTTTTGGGAAGTGGATCTGGAGACTTGGAAAAGAAAGGGAAAGTTGGTGGAGGAACTTATTAGCAGCCAAATATGATACAGACAAAGGTGATTGGGTAACTACTTGTAATGTTCCCTCCTTGAGGTGCTCTCTAAGGAAGAAAATTATGGAAAATTTTCCACTTCTCAGTAGAGGCTTAGGATAAATGGTGTAACAAGCTATTAGCAGAGTTGTTTCCCCAGTTATTCCAACTTGCAGAGAATCAGGCAGCATTGGTGGCCGATTGCTGTGAAGTAAGAGGCAATAGTTCTCCTGGTGCCCTTCTTTTAGAAGACATGGACTGGGAAGTTGACCAAGTGGCTGAGCTGTTTGAGTTGCTGTCCAACCAGTCTCTGAATCTGTTAGAAGAGGACTCTTGGGCCTGGAACTGGAATGCAGATTGGCTGTTTTCAGTTAATTCTTTTGCCAGGAATATAACAGATGCTTCTTGAGCTGATATTCCTGCTGATAAAATCTGGAATTCGATTCCCCCTTCTAAGGTAAATGCCTTGGTTTGGGCTGTAGTGTTGGATAAATGTCTATCCAAAAAGAAAAGAATCTGGTGAGAAGAGGGATTCAGATCCAGGATATGTTGTGTGTGCTGTGTGGTCAAGTGGAGGAGGACAACAACCATTTATTTTTGCATTGCCCTGTTTCTGCTGCAATCTGAGGGCACTTCATTTCTTCCCTGGGCTTATCATGGGTCATGCTGAATGCTGTGTTGGACCTGTTATGGTGCTGGGAGTTTCAAGTCTTGTCCAAGTTGGCAAAAAGTGTGTGGTTGTCTGTTCCTGCACCTGTGATTAGTACCATATGGGTGGAAGAAACAGAAGAATTTTCCAAAACAAATCAAGAATGTAGATTATCTAATTTCCTGTACCTTTGATAAACTAGTCTCTTGGACTGCAGCTGCAAAAGGTCTCCAGACTGGGGTGCTTGGAGCCCAGCTGAGTTCTAGAAGCTTATTAGAGTTGTAATGCAGTTTTGGGATTCTGGCCTCTGGCTCTTTATTGGGGCCTCTTTGTAATATTCTGTTTCTAATAAAATTACTATACCTTTTTCAAAAAAAAAAAAAAAATCTTGGCTTTCCATCATGCCAGTTCTTTATTTGGCAACCCGCGATTTCCATTTTTGACATAGGATCCACTAGTTTTGTGCACTAATATACATGATAACAATTTGTGACCATTTTTCTTAAATAGCCTTTTTTTTATATCTTAAAAGAGAGAATCACAATATACAAACCTTTGATTTATGATGTAAGTGGGTTACAAGAAGATAATAAGCAAGTCTCAAAGGAAGAAACTAAATAAAAAGGGGTCAAATGGCAGACCTTCAGAATGCATTGTTGACCAGAAAAGAAGTGACTATGTGACAAGTCAAACCTTGGTCTTTTTATCTGAAACTTGATGGAAGTAAAGTATGCTTGTAGTGCTTAAATAATGCAATTTTCAGCTCAATCAGAAATATGGAAGCACTCCAACTGGAGGCTTCATAATTTTTGGGTTCTACAAGTCATGGAGTCAAGATCAACGGCTTGACCAGTGGACTCTGTTGGCTGTGTTGCTCAAAGTAGTAAGGTATTTCTGTCAAGTCTGGTTCATGTTGGTTTAGTTATTAGAGAATTATAAACATGTCCTAGTTTTAACAAAAAAAAAATTCTATTTTCTATTAGAGTTTGAATCTAAAAGGAAGTTGCTTTTTTTTTCCTTTTTTTATCATTAACAGAAACTCTTTATTAAAAAGAGGAAAAGAAGTTACAAGGGAAACAAAGGGGAGAGATAAAATCTCTTAATCCTCCCCAAGAAGAAAAGAAATGTTCCCTTCTCACCCCTTGTTTAGCCAGAGCATCTGCAAAAGAATTAGCTGTTCTCTTCACCCATTGAAGCTGAATCTCAACTCTCTTTTCTCATTAGCAAATTTCCAAAGATTATTATTCTCCTTTTTGCAGCTATCCTATAACCAGTTTTGAGTCTCCTTCAATAATTAGCTTTTGAATAGTCAGCTCCTTGGCCTTCTTTACCCCTTCCATCACCACCTTCCCCCCTTTCAACTAGTGCTATGCATCTTCATTTTTCTTAATATAAAAGATTTTTATTAAAAATAAAGAAAAATGAGATCCTCCTTCCTCTTCTTCATCCTCCCCTTCCTCCTCATCCCCCTCCTCTTAAGGAGGCTTGCACCTCCTTGTGTTTGGGAGGCTTACGCCTCTTACATTCTGAACTATGCCTCACACCTCTAGGTAGTGGAATACCTCACGTCATGCCTCCGCGTTTTAAAATATTAGAAGATAATGAAAGATGGGAGTTAGGATTGACAGTTCCAATCCCTGATACTTGGGAAGAAGAACTCTTAGCAAGACTTACATGTTTATAATAAGAAGAGGACATAGAAAGAAGGTGAGAAAATAGAATTGGAAACCTGGTTAGATGTTGTGATTGGTGAATTCTGGCTTGCCTGTTTCTTGGAGCATCCTAATGCATACAATTTCTTAATTACTGTGGATCACATCTCTGCTTATATTTTTACAAATGTTCTTTTTGAGAATATTTTCTTATCCTTTCAAGGCAGTGATAAAAGCAGATTCTGTTTTAATGTTCATCCATTCAAGATCACATCCCCATAGTTATGTGTGCACTCAACCTCAGTTGGTCTTCACTGTTTTTGCTGTATCTTGTCCAGCCTTTTTCTATAAGAATATGTATTTGTATGCTAGCGATGTTGGTTTAAAGCTGCCTGTATACCATTTTCACATATTTGGTGAAAAATGATTATATACATTGTTTTTCATAATATAAGGAGAAACCCTGATATTTATCCTCTTTTGACATGTCTAATTGTTTTGGGCAGGGAACTGCACAGAGGCCTGAAGTACGCATAGTCACATGGAAAAATGATGAACTTGCAACAGATGCTTTACCTGTGTATGGGTTTGAGCATTACAAGGCAAAGGATTATTCCCTTGCACATTCTCCTTTCTCAGGTATTCATGTATTTTAGATTCAGTATTGTCACTGAAATGATATGCATTTAATCCTTGTATAAATCCTGATTTCATGATTTGGAAGTCATTGTTACATGTGTAAAATCGTAATGGTTATGCTTTTGAAATGTAGGTAGCAGTTATGCAGGTGGTCAGTGGGCTGCTGGAGATGAACCATTGTACTACATTGTCTCCCCTAAGGATGTAATTATCGCAAAGCCTAGGTTAGTGTTTAGTTTCTTTCTTTGTCCCTAGGTTTTACCTAGACAAATAAAGTTAAGTTGAACAATTAAACAAATATATGCCCTTACAGCAGAATGGCTGGGCATCATTTGTGCTACTGCTTCAATTATGTGGATTAGGGCAGATCAAAATGATGGGATAGATGAATAATGATGGCTGAGCTTACCTAGTTTGAGTTTCTCCTTCTGCATCTGAAGTTGTTTTGTTGTCATTACACCTGACTGACATGGATACAGACTATGCAATACGAGGATCCTCTGGATTAGCCACATGCATAGTTTGTCCACCTCAAACCTGAATCCCTGAACCTGATTGTGCCTTGCCCTTTTGGCATTGAGTCATAGCCTTTTGGTTTGTTATTTTTCTCCCCCCAATAAAGAATTACATAAGAAATAAATCTTTTTCACCAATGCATAGGATTAATGGGTTGAATCTTGCCACATAGAGAGATTGGTGCAGGTGAGAAACATGTGGACCCATGATGGCCAAAGGATTTAGAGCCTGATATTATGTTCTAACATCTTCCTCTCTCTCTAAGATAACCTTATATTTTTTTTTGATATGATATTTGTTTTGAGTATAAAATTCATTTGTGGGAAGACTGTTGGGTGGGTAATTCTACTCTTAGGAACTATTCCCGTCCTTATATTCAATTTCCAATTTCAAAAGAGAACCAATTTCAAAATTCATGGCATTTTCATCTTTATCTTCACCTGTGGATTTTGACTAGGACTTGGGATTCAGGGGGGGGTATCATCCTATGGGACTCGGGTGTCTACTGGGGGGGTGTTAATTTAATCAAACTATAAATATAATAGTTTAATAACATCTCATGGGTTCTGGTGCTCCCTGAGTTTGAAATGATTAGTAGATCAGATTTGGGGGCTGAAGAAAACTAAAGAGAGGAGAGCTGAGAGTTCGGCAATGAGGGTCTGAGAATGAGAGTTTCGAGCCTACTCTCTCTCAGCACCCTAACACTATTTTATTAAGATAKRTTTGAATAATTACAAGGARGCCCTTAGTTGGGCAAGAATTTACAAAGAACTTAATATAGACAGGATGGGCCCAGAATAAGGCCCATTACAGAAAAACATAAATAACAAGAAAGAATAAACAACCTATG